CCCGCACCAGCGGTACCGAAGGTTGTGACAGTCTTGTCTCAGTGAGCGCAATCAGGTTGCATGGCGTGGAGAAAGTCTCCGGGGTGGAAGGTAGGCCAAGCTCAACCGCAGTACGCATCGGGGAGCTTATGTGCACTGGACTCAACGGCGCTTGAGGCACTGGAATTGCCAGTGCCGGAATTGCCGGTGCCGGAGTTGGAGCCTTCGCGGGGCGGTCTGGCACGGGACGCTGCTCCAAGAGGGGCACAGGCAGTGCTGGCAACTGTACAGGAGCAGAAGGTTGCTTGTGCTGCTTCTTGGGTCCCAGAGACAGCGAGCGGTGCCGCGCTGGTAGCGGTGCCGGAGACATCCAGTGCCGGGAGTCTTCGCCGGTGCCAGGTCATGAAGCTGTTGTTTCCAGTGCCGGAGGCGCGCTTTGGACCGACGGGGCCAGGTCTCGGCATGGAGCCGAAGACATTGGGCTAAGTGCCGCTTCCACAAGGAGCTGCTTCAAGCGAAAGTCCCGCTCCTTTTTAGTCCAAGGCTTGAATGCCTTACAAATGTGGCACTTATCTGATTGATGGGATTCCCCCAGGCACTTCAAACAGGAGTCGTGGGGGTCTCCCATAGGCATCGATTTAAGGCAGGCCGAGCACGGTTTGAAAATGAGCCCGGGTACCGGGAGGGAGGAAAGGGGAGAAACCCCAATTACTATGTACACTAACAACAATAACAACTATTAACTACTATTAACTACAACTATAAACTACTAACAACTACTCTATAACAAGTATCTACAAGTATAAACGAGCTAAGAGCTAGGGGAGTGGAGATCAGCTAAGCCGCGCTCCACAGTTCCAACGATTGTCACGGGCAGTAAGAAGGAACTGAGGGGGCACTGGGTCAGCAGGGGCATATAACTGGCGCCATAAGGGCGCCACTCCAGGGGGCGCCTCAGCCAACCCACCAAGTGTTGCTAGGGTAAAAATCTTCCGACGATCGTGCATGCAGCGCACGCACGCCTAATTGGAATCGATATGAGCAAGCACTCTAAGAAGAATAAATCTGATGCTGTCATAAAGGCTTGCGAGGTGATAGGTACCAAAAGGAACAGCGCCAGACAGCATACTGTGACATCCGTAGGTAATGGACTGGATAGCTCTCTCTCTCGAGTCAACGGTACGGTACCAGGATCCTCCCACCTCATTACCGGGGAGACATAGGTTGATGGGTCTTGATGTCGCTGACAGCCTTTTCTGGACGAAGAGGACGATCAATTTCTCTTTGATTTCTGATGACGCTGATTAGTTTTATGGGTCTTCTGGGGCAGGTGAACAAGCCCTTTCTCTTCTCTTCAGGAAGAAAGGAGAGCAGCAGAATATGGACCCTGGACTTCAGAAAAGCAGACTTTGACTCCCTCAGGGAACAGATGGGTAGGATCCCCTGGGAGAATAAGGTGAAGGGCAAAGGGGTCCAGGAGAGCTGGCTGTATTTTAAAGAATCCTTATTGCGGTTGCAGGAACAAACCATCCCGATGTGTAGAAAAAATAGTAAATATGGCAGGCGACCAACTTGGCTAAACAGTGAAATCCTTGCTGATCTTAAACGCAAAAAAGAAGCTTACAAGAAGTGGAAGATTGGACAAATAACCAGGGAGGAGTATAAAAATACTGCTCAGGCATGCAGGAGTGAAATCAGGAAGGCCAAATCACACTTGGCGTTGCAGCTAGCAAGAGATGTTAAGAGTAACAAGAAGGGTTTCTTCAGGTATGTTAACAACAAGAAGAAAATCAAGAAAGTGTGGGCCCCTTACTGAATGAGGGATGCAACCTAGTGACCAAGGATGTGGAAAAAGCTAATGTACTCAATGATTTTTTTGCCTCTGTCTTCACGAACAAGGTCAGCTCCCAGGCTGCTGTACTGGGCAGCACAGCATAGGGAGGAGGTGACCAGCCCTCTGTGGAGAAAGAAGTGGTTCGGGACTATTTAGAAAAGCTGGACGTGCGATTGGGGGAGGTCCAGGATGCCTGGAAAAAGGCTAATGTAGTGCCCATCTTTAAAAAAGGGAAGGAGGAGGATCCGGGGAACTACAGGCCAGTCAGCCTCACCTCAGTCCCTGGAAAAATCATGGAGCAGGTCCTCAAGGAATCAATTATAAAACACTTAGAGGAGAGGAAAGTGATCAGGAACAGTCAGTATGGATTCACCAAGGGGAAGTCGTGCCTGACTAACATAATTGCCTTCTATGATGAGATAACTGGCTCTGTGGATGAGGGGAAAGCAGTGGATGTGTTATTCCTTATCAAAAGCTTTGCTAAAGACACGGTCTCCCACAGTATTCTTGCCGCCAAGTTAAAGAAGTATGGGCTGGATGAATGGACTGTAAGGTAGACAGAAAGCTTGCTAGATCGTCGGGCTCAACGGGTAGTGATCAATGGCTCCATGTCTAGTTGGCAGCCGGTTTCATGTGGAGTGCCCCAAGGGTCGGTCCTGGGGCCGGTTTTGTTTAATATCTTTATTAATGATCTGGAGGATGGTGTGGACTGCACTCTCAGCAAGTTTGCAGATGACACTAAACTGGGAGCATGGTAGATACACTGGAGGGTAGGGATCGGATACAGAGGGACCTAGACAAATTAGAGGATTGGGCCAAAAAAAACCCCAAAAAACAAACAAAAAAAAACCTGATGAGGTTCAACAAGGACAAGTGCAGAGTCCTGCACTTAGGACGGAAGAATCCTATGTACTGCTACAGACTAGGGACCAAATGGCTAGGTAGCAGTTCTGCAGAAAAGGACCCAGAGGTCACAGTGGACGAGAAGCTGGATATGAGTCAACAGTGTGCTCTTATTGCCAAGAAGACTAACAGCATTTTGGGCTGTATAAGTAGGGGCATTGCCAGCAGATCGAGGAACGTGATCATTCCCCTTTATTCGACATTGGTGAGGCCTCATCTGGAGTAGTGTGTCCAGTTTTGGGCCCCACACTACAAAAAGGATATGGAAAAATTGGAAAGAGTCCAGCGGAGGGCAACAAAAATGATTAGGGGTCTGACGCACATGACTTATGAGGAGAGGCTGAGGGAACTGTGATTGTTTAGTCTCCAGAAGAGAAGAATGAGGTGGGATTTGTTAGCTGCTTTCAACTACCTGAAGGTGGGTTCCAAAGAGGATGGAGCTCGGCTCTTCTCAGTGGTGGCAGATGACAGAACAAGGAGCAATGGTCTCAAGTTGCAGTGGGGAAGGTCTAGGTTGGATATTAGGAAACACTATTTCACTAGGAGGGTGGTGAAGCACTGGAATGTGTTACCTAGGGAGGTGGTGGTATCTCCTTCCTTGGAGGTTTTTAAGGCCCGGCTTGACAAAGCCCTGGCTGGGAAGATTTAGTTGGGAATTGGTCCTGCTTTGAGCAGGGGGTTGGACTAGATGACCTCCTGAGGTCCCTTCCAACCCTGATATTATATGATTCTATGATTCTTGGGGTAGAATCAGAGTCCAGGGGTCCACTGGAACTACCATAGAAGTAGACGGTGTCAGAGAATAGCTGGCCGAACGATCCAACGAATACCCTGGTGCCAAGACAGGCTTTGTAGCCTGTTCCATCAGGTGCTGTTTCAACTGAAGGTCTCTGGAAATCAGTGTTAACTTTTCCAATGAACATTAGATACTGCTCCTTACCATAATGTGTTCCTCACCAAGACACAGTAAGCAGCATGTGTGCAGGTCACTATAAGGAACAGAGGCCCCACATGATGCCTGGTGCTTAAAACTTGGAGAATGCTGCATAACCTACTACAACTAACTAAACTAATGTTACACTACACTACACGACTGGTACTAACTGCTACTAACTATTTACACTACAAACTCTCAGTAAGTAGCTGTGACACAGGAAATAAATTGTGAGGAGAGAACTGCAGAGGGAGCTCAGACTTAAGCCACTGGTGGTAAGAAGGAATGGGGTAGGGATTGGTGCACCGCCATCCTTATGTAGCCTCTGGAAGGGCCACAAGGAGGTGCAGGATGTGCACACTGCCCCAATGGGTACTGCTGCAAGGGGAAAAGTCTCCAGCTCCTAGTGTGCTAAGTGTAAACACACTTGAGTGGACTACGTCTGCAACCACTCGAAGAACCATCACCTTTTTTTCCCACCCTCTCAATTAGACCCCAGCTGTAAGATTCCAAAACTGATTTAGCAACTGTTTGAAGAGACAAGCACTGCTGGATACTCATGAGAGAAAAACCTAGACTTCCGACCTTAAGGAAGGTGGGAGCAGAAGAAAGGAGTAACAGGCTAAACAGACAACATGAGAATGGCAGAACTTTTTTTTTTCCATAGAAAGGTGTTTCAAGAAAACTGGATTTATGTCAATGTGAGCACAGGGGGAGCCATAAAACCTAAGTAATACAAGTCTTTGTATAGTGATTTTAAAAAGTTAATATGGGACAAATTTATAGTGTGGAAGATAAGAAATTTTCCACATAACCACTCTAGGCACATGTGTTATTGTATTCCTAGAACCATTAAGTTAATACATATCTAGAAATAAAATTAATCAGACCCTTATTTAATTTTAACAACCATTCCAACTATGGAAGCCAGGACGGAAGTCCCTTTGGAGTTAAATTTGCTTCACAGCTCTACAACGTGTATTGGCAAAAATCTGAACAGCAAATTTGATTTCATTTTGGTTCTACAAAGATGCTCGATGACATGGTGAACATTCATGGAATAATATAGATCTGTCAAAATGCTAATGAAAAATCAATAGAGAACAAGTAAAGATTGACTACAATGAAGCCACGTACCGAGGGAAAGGCATATAAACTGAAAATCCCACCTCTTCTGATATTATTTAAGTTTCTTCCTATGTCTTACTTGCACAGGAAAAATAATTAATTACTGCCAAATACTGTCCTATAACTATTTCATTTCAACTAGGTATACCAGTAACCTTAGCATTATTCTGCATGCAAAATAGCTTTTGAACATTGTTTAAAAATGGGAAAATAACACCATACCTGATGCAAACACACTAATGTGTAGAATGCTTCACCTGCTGCAGTTGTCATCTCTGTATTGTGCTTTTGTAGTACCAGCATATCAAAGACCATCTGAAGTGATAAAACAAATTAATGATCTAAAATGCAGACTGTTAGGCTGTCACTATGTAACGAAGTAGAAGGGGGAAATCTTGTTTAGGAAGCTAAAAGGAGCAGACCTATTGAAGACTGCTTCCTGAAACAAGTCTAAGTCCTTTATGGATCTGGGGAGAATATGAGTTATTGAATAAGGATTTCTGGAAATATTTATAGTTTATGCTTTTAGAGCTAGAAGACATTGGGGGACTATTACTGTGTTATTTAAATGTGACTTCTTTACAGTGAAAAGGGCATATTTACTAAGTTTGTCTTTAGAAATGTTTTTTGTTACATTAGCTTACAATGGGGATTTTCTGAGGAGAAGATTTGATTATTAGAAAAGGGGAGAAACACAACATTTTCTTGAACAAATAGAAAGAGGAGTATAGATTCCATTGTGAATTAACTGTCTATTAAGAGGTATACTGACACACCAACAAACACTTAAAAGGTGCAAACTGTAGGATAACCATGTCCTTGTCTTCACAAAAATTAAACATTCTTAATAGTCTCTTAATTTGTAACAGTCATAAATGATCTTTTATTTATATGTTAATTTTATGATACAAGAGAGGAAAGATTAAAAAACTGGCTATGTTTAAAATGACTGAGGGGGGACCCAATAACTGTTTTCAAATATATATGGGCTGTTATCAAGGGGACAGTGATCAATTGTTCTCTGTGTCTCCTGATGGAAGGACAAGTAGCAATGGGCTTACTGTGCAGCAAGGGAGTTTTAGGTTAGATATTAGGAAAACCTAAGTATAAGAATAGTTAAGCATGAAACAGGATTCAAAGGGAGGGTTGTGGAATCCCCATCATTGGAGGTTTTTAAGAAAAGGTTAGACAAACACATGCCAGGAATGGCCTAGGTATATTTGGTCCTAGCTCAGCACACCAAACTGGACTAGATGACCTCACAAGGTCCCTTCTAGACCTACATTTTTATGATTCTACAAACAAGGAGAAGAATAAATGAAAGGTTTTGCTCTTCCAGAATAAAATGGGGAACCCATTCATCAGGTCTGTGAAAGATGTTGTGACTTTGGAGAATCCTAAGGTTCAATGAAAACTAAGTGGGTGAGGGAATGACAGAAGGGGGTGGAAGTCAGAGAATTTAAGGTAGAAATTTAGAGAAGGGATTGAAAAAACAAGTACGTCCAAGCTTTATCAAACTTTATTTAAGGCTTGTTGTTCACTCTCAACCGGACTGATGTCAATGAGCCTGCTATGAGAAAATTAAGATCCCAAGCAAGACTTAGTCTGTGCTGAAAGAGTAAGGTAAGAGATTTTTTGTTAAACATTTAACCCGGGGTTAAGCACACAGATTTTCCTACCAGCCAGCTCATGGCTAGAGGCAATTGGCTGCTCCCAATTTACACTAAGACCCAGCTAAACAAGATGGAGCAGATAGTCCAGAACAGTAGACACTTAACATGACACTGGATTGAGAACCTATGTAATTTTCTTTAAATAGAAGTCCAACCAGAGCAGCATCCTCTTCTTTTCTTGTTTTAGTAATCAACTATTCCATTTTCCCTACCTATTCCTGTTGCTTCTTGTCCAATCCATCCTTCAGCTTACAAGCAACCTTGCCCATTCTGTTTTAGTTCTTTGTGTCATCTACTCAGACTTCACAGTAATTCTTACTAAAGTCTTTTAAGTTTCATTTTGAAGCCCAGACACATAACACAAAAACATGAGCTACTGACTGAAAAGTCCCAGGTCTGCCACTGATTTGGCATGACTTTGGGCAAGTTGTTTCTCTTCTCTGTGCCTCTACTTCCCCTTATACCTTTTGTCGGTCTTGTCTTAATAGACTAAATTCTTTAGGGCAAGGACAGTCTCTTATATTGTGTTCGTACAGTGCTTAGTCTAATGGGGCCTTGATCTCAGTTGGGCCTCTAGAAACCATTGTAATACAAATAACAAAATATGGCAGCGTAATTTGCAAATAGACATTTTACCTTAAGAAAGTGCCTTGTTGCTAGAAATAGTGATGAGTCTGTTTCCTGTGCTTTTGCACACTGTTCTGCTAATGGTGTTAAAGCTTCCAGACAGAGTTGGCAAACCTCAGAACTCATCCTGATAATCGAAGTGTCAAAGAAAAAGCATCAAAGAATAACTCAGATTTTCTTTTTAAGTTGTGGTAAATTTCTAAACAGCATCATTAGAAAATGTTTTAATGAGTACATGTCCTAGGACTTTATTTATTTTTACTAGAGTGCTTTAACAAAAAGATAGGAATCTATTGCATCTTTGTTGTCCTCTTTTATTGGCTTGTACGCTGTAAAATAATTCTGTCATCTGTGACCTGACATTTTCAGAAACAGTCCCTTATGGCCAAGCTTCTCATCTGTTTTTGACACCTGCTGTAGGTTAGTGAAAATGGTACTCCCTATTATAAAGGGAGAGCCCACTGGCAATATGACAAGAAATACTCTGGAGCCAGACCAGTAGAACAGCAGTAATATTTTGCATTACCAGCTGAAAAACTAATTCAGGAATAGCTTTGGGATACCACCTGAAGGCTTATAAAGTCAGATTCTCTGTGAGATGAAATAGTAGGGAGGAGGCAATAGAAGTTGCCAGCAAGAACACACACACATTAAACCACTTAAACGCTACATTAAAAGAAATGTTATGGGTCTAATTAAATTCAGTTAAGGCTAGAAACTCAGCTGACATTCCAATAACTCCAATAATAATAAACAGAATGCAAGGGCAAAATTGAGAAAGGAAAACAACTATAACACTACTATTATATAAGCAGAGATAAACAGAAGGAAAAAATAGAAAAAAAGTAAAGAAAGTTAAAATTTCTAAATTTCTTCACACACACACACACACACACACACACACACACACACACACGCATTTTTAAGTTGGACACCCATTCATTGTAAAGGATACGATGACATCCCTAACTCCAATGAGTACATTAGGCTCTTAAAAAGGTCTTCTGGAAGCTGAGGAATTTTCTCAGGAAATATCTCACAGATGAAGGTGATTAATTTGTAGTACTGATTACACAGAGATGGAAACTGTCAAAAGAAATATATTGGGAATTTTAGATTCAAACAGTTCTGTTTTAATACTGCTCCTAAATTTCTGTGGAACAAAGAGACAGGACTGAGACTGATGCACTCTGTTGAAAAGAAAGGTAATTATTAGCAGATACAAACTTCAATGTTACGGTCTTCAGCATATTGCCATTCCATTCATTTGATTTTTCTGGTCATATACAAGAGCTATGCATATGACATGAAAGCCTTAAAAAGCATCCCCCTCCCCCCCCCCCCCCCAAAAATCAGCATTATCCTAGTAAAGAAATATAAAAGTAACGATCGATCACAAATGCAAAATATAGAATATTATGTGTTTTTCAAAATGTGAATAGTTTTAATAACTGTCAAATATGGATAAAAGCAAAGTAATAAATCAAACTTTCACGAGGCAAATGACAAAAGAAAAGCTACAGGAGAAGGGACCCACGACGGGAGAGAAAGCTGACAAGTGAATGAACAGCAATGCAGACACTTTTTAGATCATAATGCATTGCCCAAGAAAGTGCATGAAACCACACAGTAGGCAATTATGGAATAACCTGCCTACAGAGCAAGTTTCTTCCTATCCCCCATCAATTAGTTGTTGATTTATGCCATGCAGCATGAAGATTTAGATCCTTTTTTATCCTATCTAATGTTACAGTAAATACTCTCATTCTCCATATAAATGTTTAATCCTTTTTTGAATTCTATGATAAAATCTCAACTCAATTCAAAATAAGAAGACTTGTGGCAGGACTGACTTTTTAAAAAAGGACAAACTTTGTCTAGGTCCTCCATGTATAACTCTCTTCTTAGGCTCTCAGGGGCCAGAGAAAAATTCCTTGCATATACAGTAAAATAAACCCTAGAAAATGCATTGTATTTAACTGCCAGGCTACATAAACCGCTCTAACAACTTCAAAGTTTAGAAACCATGTAAAAGCTTATATATCTTTATAAGAAGTTTCCACATTTATTATGTGCGTGCACGTATATACTGTACATATATGTTAAAATATACTTACTTTCAGCAGATCCTGTGACATTAATGGCAGAACTAGATTAACCCCATATAAGACTACATCTGCTGCTGACACCGATCTATTTGCAGCTTGTCCTGGCTCATGTCCTCTAAATACTTCATCTGTAGAAAACATATAAACCTTTACTGTTAACATATTAAATGTAAAAGGAGAGATCAGACATACTGAAGTGTCTCATTTTTATGCAAGAGGCCAGATTTATAAATTAATAATAAATATATAATAATAATAATAATAATATAAATACCTGGATAGATAGATACAATTTCCTTTTGTTCTGTACCTTCTGCACAGAACTTTCTAGGACTTGGTAAAGCTTGAACATTGGGTTTACATTTTTTAGCTTATCTAAAAAACTGTTCAATATAGTTAAATTATATCTGGCATATCAGGCTTTCAACTGATTCAATTTTAAATAGCAGAGATCATGAAGAAAAAAAGAAGACTGGGATATACAAGAGAAAACTTAACTAAACCATAACTACATACCACAGCACCTGCTCTGCGAATTGCTGAGCATCTACACATCCCCCTGAAGTGCTGCAGAATCAGAATTAGGGTATAGTTTAAAACAGAGACATTTCAGAATCAAGCTCTTCTATCACATGCTGAAATGTCTCTGTTTTAAACTATATCCTAATTCTGATTTAATTGACCTTGTTTTTGATAACTACCATTGCTTTATTTCCAGATTAGTAGCTTGTTCTAGTTCAGATTTCAAGTTGTTCAGTATACAAACTATGCAACAAGAACAATGGCCCATGAATTATTTGCATCCTTCCCTCAGCTACCAGAGTCTGAATATTAAATGCTATCTCGGAATGTGGAAACTAGACTCTCTAATCTCCACTCTTATAATACTTGGATAATTAGTTCTCTCTCTCTCCACAATATTTTTGCTAGTTTTTTAAAAAAAATCAATGTAAGATAATTCCTCAAAAGAAAATTAGCTTATTTTGCAGCCCATCATTTTTGCTCAAAACCACCCAGAGTAGTTCACCAATACTTGAAGCTTTTCATCTCCAATTACTTCATACCTGTATCACTGAAATCTATAAATTCTTTTGACAGAAGGTTAGTAAGAAGCTCCATAATAAGAAGAAGATCCTGGTATTGGTCCTCTTCTGCTGTAACATCTATTCGCTGCCGACCTAAATTATTCTTGGAATATACTTGAAGTAGAGTCAGGCAGGCCTCATACAAATTCATGGCTTTGGACTGCAACAAAGAAACAAACAGGGAAGTTAAATATGTTACATACTATATATACACTAGCATATTTAATATTGACTTTTTAGTGCTGCTTTTGATGCTGTTTGGCTGACAATACACCAGTGATTTTGATTTCTTTTCTATGATCTGTTACTATTTAGTGTAATAGCTACACATAAAAGTGTTAAGGAAATATATATTCCTTACATAACGTAACTAGCTAGCCCATTTACTCACGTACCAGTGACTACAATACTTTAGTAATATAACCATACTTTTGGTAGGTTACCCCAAACTTAAAAAGAAAATTTTAAATCAGGAGTCTATATATAAAATGGTTTTGGACAGACTGACATTTCTTGCCAAACTCATGAAATTGTTCAGAATTGCAGATTCAGAATCTCTAGGGTCTTGTTCACACTAGCACATTTTGTAGCTTTAATCCACCATTATGGCAGATCCAATGGTGGTAGCTAGGGTTTGTCTGGATTAGAGAAATTTGCATAGGTATAACTACACCAGTGCAAAGTCCTAACGTAGGTACACTGCACTGGTTAACTTACTAAGGTAAATCACACCAGTGAAAGCCCTGTTTAGCACCAATGTGGTGTCTCTACCTTAAGAGTTTGCACCAGAAGTTACACCAGTGGCAAGTTGCCCTAGACAAACCTTCAGAGAAAGTTAAACATGGTAAAAACACCCTGAGCTGGACTAATGATGAATTATAGGTAAATTTGTTAGTGTATGCATATTCTAGCTGTACTTTTGGGTTACCTTTTCAGAGACAATATATGCACTCTCACTTATAGACAAGGAAAGATTATTTAGTACATCCAAAAGTTTTCTGAATGATATAAGAGGCAGAACTGTGGGATGCTCTCTCTTTTTCCAGTCTCCAGTCAGTGTGCTTGGGTTTTACTATAGCAGAAACCTGTAAATGGATTTGCTTGTTTTATCAAATCTGTTTTCCTTTAAAGAGGTCTATTTCCTTTTAATAACATATCTGTTTCAGTGAATTATGCTCTTTAATGGATTATATAAAAAATAAGTTAGCAGATGCATGATTTTAAAAGATCAATGACCTTTTGATGTCTACGTTTTAAATACGTTCACTCCTTTAACAGGCATACATTTAAGAGGGCTCAGCTCTACAATATTTCTTCCTATTCAGCATTTAAAATCATTGTGATTTACTTGATTTAGAGACTAGGATCTTATTTTGCATGTGCGTGCATGCACGCAAACACACACACACACACACACATACACACTCTCTCTCTCTTTTTGGTTGCATTTACCTCTCCGAGATAGCATATTTGTTTATGTGCAACTTCAACAAAAACTTCTATTATGAGGTTAACAGTCTCTGGTGTGTTTTTGTACACCTCCATTAATCCAATGCAATTGGTAAGGAAGTCCATCAGAAAGTTAAAGAGTATTGCTACATTATCTATCTGGGTAGCCTCAGCAATGCCACAAAGTGCTTCTAGTGTGGCAGTGATTTCTTGTTTCACCTCCTCCTCTTGACAGATCTGTTGAAAGTTTTCTTGATTTATCACATTCAAGAATCGCTGCTGAAGTGGCTGAAGAACCTACAGAATCAAACATTAAACATCCATTTCTGATAAATGTATTCTTCCAGTTTAATACATGTAGTACTCAGGGCCGGCTCCAGGCACCAGCTGAGCAAGCTGGTGCTTGGGGCGGCAGATTGTTCGAGGTGGCATTCTGCCCAATCCTAGGGCGGCACGGCCGCTTTTTTTGTTTGTTTGTTTGTTTTGTTCTTGTTCCACTCCCGGAGAACCAGAGCGCCCTTCAGGGCAGTCCTCTTCCTTCCCTCCCCGCCGACCGGAACGGAGCCCTCGCGGCAGGAGGCGGTGCAGCGGGAGGGGCCGCATGGCAGCGCCCCTGCTGTAGCCCTGGCCGCCCCCTTCTCTCTCTCTCCTGCCCGCTCTCCTCCCCCTCCTTCCCCCCCCCCCCAACCCCAGCCGGTCCCCCTGCACCCACGCTCCGGCCACGCCGCAGGTTGTTTTTTTTTTTTTTTTGCTTTGGGCGGCCAAAAAGCCAGAGCCGGCCCTGGTAGTACTCACAGTTTCCTATCAATTCATTAAAAAGTCAAGTCTTTATGGCATACAACCCTTCCCACTCTCCCCACCTACAAAGCACTGGGATAATTCACCATTGTTATTCCAGTTTTACACTGGTGCAATTCCATTGATTTCAATGGAATTAAAACTGGCATAAAACTGGGGTAACACAGTGATTAATCAGGCCCATTAAGTGAATTTTAACTTAATCTTGCCATGCACCATCTCCATTAGGGGTCTGTTTCAGCATTATCTCTTGCCAACTTATTTTCTGCCCACTTATGGTGTTTAAATTCCTCTCTACTGTGCCTTTTTCTGTCCTCTCTGGTATATGAATCTCCTCCAAATTTTGTATCATCTGAAAGTTTCTTTTCTATTCTAGCTAATTAATAAAACTGTTAAATAAGATCAGTCTTAATAATTATCTTTGTGGTACCACACAACATACTGCCATCTATCATTATTATTTTAAAAAACTATTTATTTAGGAAGTTAACAAGTTTACAAATCCTTGCCATGTAAACACCAGAGCCAGTACAATAATCATTACAACACTGACCTTTTGTTTAGAGAAGCATTTTTTAGTCTTCCAACCTATGTTCAATCTGCATGATACTGTTGATAGTTAAGCTAATTTGATCTAATTTTTCAGAGTTTAGTTTTTCCAGACAGTCATACGCTTTACAAAACCCCAATATATAACCAGTTCCTCTATCAGGTTCCCTTTCAGTTATTAATTTTGTAATTTATCAAACAAGCAATCAAGTTTTTCACAAGATTTATTCTTTACAAACCTATGGTGCTTATTGCTCATGTTTCAGTTACCTCTAGGGCCAAGATGCTTCATTATTTTCTCTCCATATTCATTTTATTATTTTACAGTAGAACCTCAGAGTTATGAACACTAGCGTTACGAACTGACCAGTCAACCACACACCTCATTTGGAAACAAAAGTACAAAACCAGGCAGCAGCAGCAGCACCACCACACACACACATACAGACAGTACAGTACTGTGTTAAACGTAAACTACTAAAAAAAATAAATAAAGGGAAAGCCGCATTTTTCTTCTGCATAGTAAAGTTTCAAAGCTGTATTAAGTCAAATACTCAGTTGTAAACTTTTGAAAGAACCATAATGTTTTGTTCAGAGTTACGAACATTTCAGAGTTATGAACAACCTCCATTCCCGAGGTGTTCGTAACTCTGAGGTTCTACTGTATTGTTGCACTTTGTTAAGCCTGACAAAATACATGGAATCTTACAAGGATCATATAAATTAAAAGGTTACCAGGGAAAGAAGTGAGACTTCCAAGACTTCAGTTTTAAGGAACGCTCTTCTTTCCTTTTTTGATAATCAGTCATTTTAATCTGACCATTTCAGAACTTTTTAAAAACACATTTATGAAATACGATTATAAAATGACCATCAATGTAATATTAATTGGTCATGTTTAAATAACTGGTATCTTACATACCCTGTAATTGGTGTCTTATAAATGTCTAGGTAAAATAAGAATCACAATGAAATTTTAATATTAAAAAAGCCTTTAAAGACGTTCCGTGTGCAACAGTAGTGTTGAATTCAGTTTCATTGCTTGCTGAAATGAAGGTGACAGAAATTTAAAATTTCTTACCTCTGTCCAGTATTGCTGTTTTGTATCTGTGTCCATATGAGCAAAACCTCCTAAAACTAGAGCTTTCATTAGTGTTCTCTGCACAGAACTGGACAAAAAGTGAAGAGGTGGGCTTCGCCTCGCAAACTGCTTAGCTAAATTCCACCAATTCTCACACTGAATTACTAAATTTGCCCTAAAAAATAAAATAAAAATAAAAGTAAAAAAATTGCTTACTCATAGAAAATCCTTTAGAAACACATACAATCTGACTGCTTCTACCAAGTATTTTTACTAGAATTTTGTTAAAGTTTTAAAGTATTCATTTAAACTAGGATTTATACCTAGTCTCTATTCTTTGTGACATTCATCTTACTTATGCTTCATTTCTAGATTTCTGTAAAATTTAATTTATAAATCATTTAATTTATGAGTGAAAAAATGGGAAAGTACTTTGTAGAGTCGCATAATACCCTTTATTTGACATCTTGCATGTATTGAGCTCAAGCGGTTTATTTTGAGTTTTGTTGTTATAACTCTGAGCCTAAAGACTCAAGTTTTAGAGAATTTACAGGAGATTCAGATTAAGCAAAAGAAAATCTGTTTTATCACAGAGTTCTGTTTAACCAAAAGAACACAAACCAGCAAAGTCTTTAGCCACTGTTCCTTCTTACAGCTTATCAATCTGTACACATCAAAACAACAACAAACAGGGCATCTCTTGTGTATTTCCAGAGCTCGTCAGCTCGTGTCTGGGCAACAAATTTCTGTCCCTTCTGGTCACAAGAGTAGGCCAGTCCCTTTAAGGGTCTAAACCCAACTAGACTCCATCACACAGAGATTGCCTTTGCTCAAGGAGGCATTTCTAGCGGGACCAGATTAAGACAAACCAGGGCCCTTGCCACCCCCTCACATGGGGCCCCTCCTGCACTGTGGCGCTCTCTCTGATTTGGCTAGCAGTGGCATGGGCCACCAACATAAAAGCAAAGAGTGAATTTTGCTAGGCTGGTTGCCCTGCTCCTCTTTGCATAAATTTGGGCCTCTCTCATTTCTGGGTCACCACTCCCTGCCTTCAGGTGAGCTGGGCCCTCTCCAAAACCAGGGAGGGGTCGGTCTGCATCCACCTCAGAACAGGACTCACTGTTACCACCTCAGCCAACTTATGATGGGGTAGAAGCAGAGAGGCCCCTCTGTGTAGGTAACTATGTTCTATCAATATTTGGCCCCTGTGTAGGGAACAAATGCCTGCCTATGCTCAGGTTTCAAACCTATCAATGCAGCTTCTCCCACTCCTATTCCTTTGCCTCTGTCATTTCATCTATCCCTTCATTTATTCATTCCTTCCCCTTCCTCAATGCATTACAGATCCCATATTCACTATATTCTCCTTTCCACTCCATCACTCATCCTCCCTTTGCTTTTATCTTCTCTCTCACCTCACACATTTGTTAAGCTTGTATTCTCTTGTATTCAACGAACAAAAAAATGAGGGCGGAGAGGAGTGAGAAGGAAAGGGGGGAGCTGTAGGATCTCCCAACTCCCCAACAGGCTGCGAGCAGCAAAACATGGGCTCTCTTTCTTCCCAGTCTACCCAGAGTGCTCCAAACCCAGTGACTGACCCTCCCTTTCTTTGTAGGGAGCACCTCTCACAGATTCCTCTGGTCTCAGAGAACAGCAGGGAAAACCCTTCCTTTCCTTTGACTAGTGGCAGGGCCTCCTCTCCTCTAGAGCAGCAGAGTGGCCATCCCAGAGCTGCAACAGCACAGGACTAGTCCCATCTGGTGGTGGGAGTGGGGCCAGAAAACCTCCTTCCCTTGTGAGTGGCTGTCTGCAGATACAGTGAGGCAATGCGTTAGTTACACTCTGGTAATGTTTTCAAGATTTTCTTTACAAACCGGGGAGGCTATAAACTTTTATTTATTTATTTATTTATTTGTTTGTTTTTGGTAAATCAAAGTGGAGATTCTGACCGCATCATGTGATTCCAAGAGCTAGGGCCCCAACATGGCTCTGTAGTGCCTATGTCATAATCCAATGGTTCTCAACTGTCAATACCGCGATTCCATTTTACACAGGGAAAAAAACAAACTTTGGAACCCAGGGACACCGTCCCATGTAGTCAAAGAAATGGAGGGTGGTTGTAATCCCCTTAAAATTCCCCTCTAGGCTCAGAACACATGCTTTAATCCTGGATTCTAGACCTGACTCCCAGACAGGACTCAATCCCCTGCCAACCTTAACTAAAAAGCCCACACCATTATCAAGCTTCCTCTGAGGGAGCGCCACTGTGGTTTGGGAGCAGAAATGAGAGAGGCAGGGTTATGGGAACCCTGTAGAGAGTACTGAACAGTGTCAGCTCCCAGATAACACTAAGGAGTTCAGAACTGACTTTGGCACTTGAATGCTTTTCCTACGTTGAGAAAGAATGGTCTCATGGTTAAGGCAGATGAATGCTGCTGTAAAAGAACTGGATTCTACTCCTTCCTTTGCCAGAGTTCCTATGTAATACTGGTCAAGTCACTTCAACCAAGCCTTTTACAATCACTCACTCATTGTGTGTTTCTCATGCCTGACTTTGAAACCCTGGTATCTGATTTGCAGAAGTGCTGAGCACTCACATCTGTAACTGAAGTCAATGGGAGCTCTGCTTTGAGTGTAATTATGAAGTGCTGTGTAATGCTGAGTATTCTAAAAAAATCAAGGCTGAGGAACCTCAAATTTAGCACCCAAAGTTTAGTATATACTTTTAACCTTACTCTCCCTGTGCCTCAGTTCCCCATCTATAAAATGGGAATAATACCCCTTAATTTTAGAGAGGTATTGTGAAAATAAATTCACTAATATTTGTGAAGCACTTCACATACTATAATGATGAGCACCACAGAAAAGCCAATGAGGAAGTTAATAATTCTGTCTTCAGAGCAGAGTTTGAACAGTGTGTAGTAATAAGCCATAGGGCCACACACCGAACATCAAGCAGAAAACAAAATACTGAATAGTTGTTTGTTAAGTGAGCACTGTTCATTTTGTGCACCGAATGAGGCAAGGATTCTGTGTGAAAAAAATCACGTAATTAAATAATGCACCATAATGCATACGCACAAAGGGGGTGGATTACAGTTGCACATGCAACTTTAATTCTGGCATTTTTAAATGTGCGTGCTTGACTTAGCAACCGTAATAATGTTCTTTTAACACAGTACATATGTATTACACACAAAAAACTATTTTGTGTCAGTCTACAAAAGGATAAAACTTTCAAGAATTTGCTGCTTTACAGCTTCTAGCTCCAAGCAAACCTTTGAAATGTATCACTTTCTCCAAATTCTACATGCTTTTAGATATTTAAAATTACACCATTTTAATATTCTTTTACAACATAACTATGTTGGCATTTGATTTTTCAAGCCTAAACAGTTAATTCTTCAAAAGTAAATAGCAATGTAGACATCCTCATTATAGGATTGGGAAGGTGGGGGGAAAGGCAGAGTTAATTCTTCCTAACTACCTGGTGGTTGAGAGGCATAGGGGAAGGAGAGCACATTTCAGTACAATATAAACTTGAAGGGTTCACTTAACTGGGCTGACAAGCACTGATGGGCTGATTCTCCTCTCCATTATACAAGTTTTATGTTTGGTGACACTCCACTGGAGTTACAGAAGCATAAAACTGGTGTAAGAGTGAAGAATCAGGTCTTGAGTCTATGTAGTCCAGAACATGGTTATTATTTCATAAAAGGAGAAAAACAGCAAGTTATATAGTTGGTGTGCAAGTATGTACATATTTTTAATAAAATACCTTATATTTTATGCTAGGGTTTGAACAATTTTGAATGCTTTAATTCTCAACAGAAAGTGCTCTTAGCTGTGGAAAACATTTAGAACAGTACAAATACTCTAATAGGTAATATACACTGTATTCGCTTTATTTTTGGCCCAATATAATTTTAAAGATGCAAAAGAAAAATTTGACTTGCATAAGCCTTCACTTTACCTCTCTCTCCTTTCCACTAATGTTACTAGCAACTGTACAGTGTCATTTGCAAGGTCCTGCTCAGAACTCCAGACTGCCAGGTTACTGATTACTTTTTCTAAGAGGTAACCCACAATCCACTGGGAACCCTCTGTGTCTGCACCAAATGCTGTATTAAATGGTAGACTTATCTATAAGAAAAAGAAAACAATTAAATGAGTGCATTTTATAAAAAGTCAAAATAGTAACTCATTTTCAGACTTTCACAGTCCTTGCTTACTTAACATACAAAAGTTATGTTGACAAAAAGGAAAAAGTATAAGAAAAAATAGGTAGGAAACCAAACTTACCTCTCACTCTATGCCAAAAAACTGGAAACAATATCAATTTTGTTATAAAACCTTATTTTAAGTATCCTTCCATCTAACCTTCAACACCACCTTTTAAAAGAAAGATTTCCCATGTATGCAGTGTTGTTATAGCTGTGTGGGTCCCATGAATTAGAGACAAGGTTGGGACCACCTTCTGTTGGTGAGCGACAAGCTTTTGAGCTCACTCTTCTTACCTGAAGAAGAGCTCTGTATAAGCTCAAAAGCTTGTCTCTCTCACCAATAGAAGTTGGTCCAATAAAAGATATTATCTCACCTACCTTGTGTCTTTAACATTTCCCATGCACAGTTTAAGGTGGCCATGAAGGAATTCCTGCAGTTTTTCAGAACTGAAGATTCTAATACTGAGGGCTGGCCTACTCTACCTCTTAGGTCGATGTAACTTATGTTGCTCAGGGGTGTAAAAAAGACACACCCCTGAATGACGTAAGTTACGTCAATCCAAGCGCTATCCATATTGGCGCTGTGTTGGCGGGAGACGCTCTCCCGCCGACATAGCTTCCACCTCTCTCGCGGAGGTGGAGTAATTATGCCAATGGGAGAGCACTCTTCTGTCAGCATAGCATGTCTTCACCAGACATGCTACAGCAATGCAGCTGCAATTGCTCCCTGAATTTGTTCCATTTGCTTCTTTTTATCGGGGGGGGGGGGGAGGAGCGCAGGGAAGAGGATTTAAGTATATAAAAGGTTGTTACAAGGAGGAGGGAGAAAAATTGTTCTCCTTCACCTCTGAGGATAGGACAAGAAGCAATGGGCTTAAATTGCAGCAAGGGCAGTTTAGGTTGGACATTAGGAAAAACTTCCCATCACGGTGGTTAAGCACTGGGTCTGGAATAAATTGCCCACGGAGGTTGTGGAATCTCCATGGTAGGTTAGACAAACACCTGTCAGGGATAGTCTAGAATAGATAATACTTAATTCTGCTATGAGTGCAGGGGACTAGACTATATGACTTCTTGAGGTCCCTTCCAGTCCTACGATTCTGATTCCATATTCAAGTTCTGGTGCAATAATGTCTGACCCCCTTGAAATTCCAAGTATTCAAATTTCCTGTTCTCTGCAAGAATTAAGTTTCTGAAAATTGAATCTCAGGAATTTGATAATTTTGCAAAGGGGCTCTGGACCCCTTGGTCTTGTGAGCATGTTCAATTTCAAATTCCCATCTATTTTCACGTTTCAGCACTAGTTTTCAGTAAAAGAATTTTCTCATCACCTTCAGAGACCAATATTATTACACACAAATTAAGATGGATACAAATTTTTTTTAAAAGAAGAAAATCAGTATTTGTAATTTAAATTAAATATAGATTTATTCAAATTAAATTTGAATTTGACACACTATGTTAAGGGTTAAGCTTGTACACAAAAATAACATTAAGCAATATATATTTGCTGCCAAGGCTTAAAGAAAGTGAAACCACTGAACTGATGGAAGTTACTGGCTAAGCACCTGGAATCAGAGTCTGATGAAGTGCTAAACCAGCTCTTCTGTGGATACAGAGAAAATACTTTCTTCATTTCCGTTTATTCAACTAGTTCAGTCCAATGACTAGTTCAGAAAGTTAAGAAAGTGACTGAAAAAACAGGAAAGCTTGTTTTCTTCTTCTAACCTACAGATAATATTTCCTTTGTTTAATAAATCAGTTTTAAATGCAAAACATGTTCTGATAACTTTTCTTATGTACTTAGCACATTTAAGGTTATTTTATTTAATTTTAAAAAATTAAAATGCTGTTTTTGTTCTTCATCCAAGTACAGCTTGACAGAAATCACAAGAAACAAATTAACCATCTAGTCAAAAAGAAATACATCATTCACCATTCTTATAATCAAAAACAATGTAAAAATTAAGATTCTGAATAAATGTAAGTTAAGCTATACAATTGCTTAAATAAATGTGTATAGATATATTATATCCTCCTGGTTCACTAATTTTTTTTTTTTTTAGTTAAAGGCTATATTTAGTTGCAAATCAACATGTTCTAATGGTTCCCAACTAAGAAGAAGAGGAGGTTACTTACCTATAACTACATGTTCTCCCAGATGCGTGGTCCTATCTGTATTCCAATCATGGCTGCGCATGCGTGCCAGGTTCTGGAGCTGGAAGGTTTTCGTAGCAGTGTCCATTGATCCGCATCGTGTCTCCTTGTTCTCCCAGCAATGCCTCTTCAATGACCCTCTTACCACCGAGTATGCCAGCCCACAACAAAGGGGATGGAGAGCGGGTATTGGAATAGGGACTACATATCTCAAAGAACATCCAGTGATGGTCCCTATATGTATTCCAATTGTGGGTGAGTAGCAAGTAGTAATCAGCATGGAGATGGAAATGCAGTCTATAGAACAGCATGTTCGCAGCCGCTCCTTCAGCGATGGCCTAGCGCAGTGGTCCCGAAACTTTTCAGAGTCACGCCCCTCCTTACTCCTGTACATGCCCTCCACCATGGAAGGCGGGGCTGGGAGTGGGGCTATGGGACGCAGAAAAGGGTAAGGGAGCCAAGGCTGGGGCTGGGAGCAGAGCCCTGGACTGAGGCTGGGGACGGGATGGGATGCAGGACTGCGGCTGGGACTGGGGCAGAGCTGGGGCTGGAACAGGATGGGGTGGTGCTCCCTCCCGGCACCCCATGGGGGCTGGCCCAAGCCCTGCTGTGAATGTTCCTTTGAGCCCCCTAGGGGGGAGAGCCCCACAGTTTGGGGACAACTGGCATAGCAGGAGGTAAAAAAAGTGAACGAATCGCCATGTCGCTGCTTGACAGATGTCCTGACAGGAAATGGCTGCTAGGTATGCCAAAGTGGTAACCCGTGTTTGCATAGAGTGTGCTGTAATTGTATCCAGTGGCTATACGTTGGAGTGTATGTAGCATGTCTAGATGCACTCGGAGACCCATTTCAAGAGTCACTGGGAGGAGACAACTTGGCCCTTGGACTGGTCTGCAATTGGTACAAACAGCTTCGGTGATGCCCGAAAGGCGCGGGTCCTCTGGAGATAAAAGGCTAAGGCATGGCGGATAGTGAGGGAGTGAAGGGTAGTGTCTGCATTGGAGCCGTATGGCTTCGGACAGAAGACAGGGAGGTGAATGAACTGATTGAAGTGGAACTCCAACGCCACCTTCGTGAGGAAGTTAGGGTGCAGTCGCATGGAGACTGTGTCCTTCTGAGGGCAGTTCTATTTTACTGGTTAAGTCATCTAACTTACGTCGCTCAGGGGTGGGAAAAAGCCCCCTGCCCCAAGCAATGCAAGTTTTGCGCTGTCCATACCAGCGCTATGTCAGCGGGAGATGCTCTCCCGCTGATGCAGCTTACACTTCTCACTGGAGGTGGAGTATTTATGCCAATGAGAGAGCACTCTCCTGTCAGCATAGCGCATCTTCACCAGACACACTGCAGCTGCGCCGATGCAGCACTGTAGTGTAGATATGCCCTGAAACACAGTGTGGGGGGGGGGGGAGATTGTCGGCCATCGTGGTTGCCAGTATGCTGACTTGTCAAGCGAAGGTAATGGTAACCAAGAAGATTACCTTCATAGAGAGATGAGAGAGGCAGCATGTTTCCAGCAGTTGAAAGAGGGCTTTGTGAGAGCAGATAGGACTAGATTAAGATCCCATGGATCAAACGGATGGTGGTAGGATGGATAAATACTGAGGCGCCATCCACTGGAGGGAGGAAGGCACTAAGAGCTGCCAGATGGACTCGGAGAGAGTTGATGGTGAGGCTCAGCATCCTTATCTTGAGTAGGTAATTGAGGATGATGGGAATGGAAATCTCACCAAGATGGTGGTGATGGCAGTAACACCAAGTAGTGAAACATTTCTATTTAGCCTGGTAGCGTGCCATGGTGGATGCCCTCCTGCTTGGAGTAAGGATGTGGCATACTGTGGTAGAGCATGCTTTGTCTAGCCTCAAGCTCCATCCAAAAACTAGTTGGGTTCGGATTGGGATGCCGGACTCGCCCCTGATGTTGGGTGAGGAGGTCTGAGAGAGTTTGGTGGCAGAGAGGTGGAAAATCGGAGGTCGTCTGGGAACCAAACCTGGCGTGGCCAATATGGGGCTATGCGGATGACAGTAGCATGGTCTCGTTGAATCTTGCAGAGGACTTGTAGTAGGAGGGGAATAGGGGGAAAGGCGTAGCAGAGGTCTCCAGTCCAGGACAGGAGAAGTGTGTCACTTTGGGAGTCCTAACCCAGGTCTCCCCTGAAGCAATAGACAGGCAACTTGCAATTCTTGCAAGTGGCGAAAAAAATCCCAGCGAGAGGTGCCCCAGATTCAGAATAGGTAACGGAGAGCAGGGTCGTGCAGCTCCCATGGAATTTTGGGTGCCTGGCAGGTACATAGCCTGGAGAATGATATGATGGTTGATGCACTAGTTCCACAGCTGTATTGACTCTGCACAGAGGGATGGAGACCAGGCACTCCCTTGTTTGTTGATGTAGGTGGCTAGATGCTATATTGTCTGAGAGGAGCTGCATATGCTGTGATTGGATCAGAGAAAGAAATGCCTGGAAGGCTAGGCAAGCTGCTCAGAGCTCCAGAACGTTGATGTAGAGCCTGGCCTCTTGCGGTGTCCAAATACCCTGGGCTGTGTGTTGGAGGAGGTGCTCCCCCCAGCCCGCAAGGGACGCATCTGTCGCGATGGTGGCCTGTGGGGTGGGGGTGGTGAAGGGGCTACTGATTATGATATTAGATGGGTCGGTCCACTAGGTGAGGGAGGCCAGAACTGTCCGAGAAACCACAACCCTGGCCGTCACATGATCTCCGTGGGGTCTGTACATGGAGAGGAGCAAGAATTGTAGACAACACATGTGTAGATCTGCATGTGGTGTCACATAAGTGCAGGCCGCCATATGGCAGAGGATGGAGAGGCAATGGCATACTATGATGCAAGGGGCGCAGCGGAGGGTCGTCACTAGGGCTGTCAGCATTGAAGAGGTCTGGTGGAAGGAAGGCACGAACCACAATTGAGTCGAGCTGCGTGCCCATAAAGTTGATAGTCTGCGTAGGGAAGAGCACGGACTCCTCCTCATTGATGCAGACGCCTAGAGAGGCCAGGAGAGCGTGAAGAGTGGAGATGGCAGAGCTAAGCTCCTGTCGGGAGAGCATGACAAGGAGCCAGTCATCAAAGTAGGGGCATACCGAGTAGCCAAGGCAGCACACGTGAGCCACCACAACCACGAAGACCTTCATGAAGACTCACATAGCTGTCACGAATCCAAAGGGGAGGACTCAGAATTGATAGTGGTGTTGCCCCATCTAGAAACAAAGGAATATCCAGTGGCCCAGGTGGACGTCGATGTGGAAGTATGCATCACTCAGGTCAAGGGCTGCAAACCAGGCCTCGGGGGGGAAGGGAGGGGATAATAGAAGCCAGCATCACCATATGGAACTAGGATTTTTGGATAAAGGTATTTAGTAGGTGAAGGTCGAGAATGGGGCAGCGCTCTCTGTCCTTTTTGGAATAAGGATGTATGGGGAGTATAAGACTCTGCCTAGTAAGGAGGTGCCATGGGCTCTATGGCACCCTTCAGGAGAAGGGAATCGACCTCGTGTTGTAGAAGGCATTGATAGGGAGGGTTCTGCAGGGGGAATGAAAAATTCGATGGCGTATTCTTAGTGGATAATCTCCAATACCCAATGATCCATGGTGATCTTGCCCCAATTGTGGACAAATAGGGCAAGGCAGGCTCCAAAGATGAGGTGTGCGGACGCGGGTGGCAATGGGGAGAGTTTGCAGATCTTGACCGACACATCAAAACTATACCCTGGGTTGTTTTGGGGTGAGAACTGAGGAAGCGGTTGCAGCAGAGGTGGTGCGACCGGTGGTGCCGGCATGGGGGTTCCTGGTGCCACTGGTAGTACGACAAGTAGGGTGCATACAGCTTCCTCTGGAGAGGAGGAAGCAGTTGTGGGGAACAACAATACTGACTCAATCTCCGCCTTGGAGCCCGACGGTACCAGCAAAGGAGCCGGGGCAGATTGGTACGAGGCCTGGGAGAGAGGGTACCGAGGGGGTATGGGTACCAGGGTAGCCAATGGGGCCAAAGAGTAGAGAGCTGGGTGTGCAGCGGGCCGGAGGGATATTGGTGCCACACCACCAAGGCCAGTTCGTAAGCAGGAGGTTACGGTGGGCAGGCGGTAGTGAGAGTCAGACCTGCGCCTAGATATCAGAGAAAAGATTGGCTCTGGTTCAGAAAAGCCCTCAGAATCTGAAGATGCCTCTGGAAATGGGGGAGCAGACTGTGTGGCCTGGGCACGGTGCAGCACTGGCCCTCTCCAGCAGGCGCAGCACTGGCTCATCCACCACAGTGGGGACCACACAGACGAGTGATGGGCCAGAGAGCAGCGATGAAGGTGGATTGGGCAGTTCCAGCTCTTCCGAGTAGAGAAGGGGCTCCAGACAGCCAGGGGTCCATGCAGGATCCCTGGTGGCAGCGGAAGACTGCGGTGGAGTCCGCAGAGCTAGTTGCACCGAAGGTCATAGAAGCGACTGGGGGGGGTGGGCAGTGAGTGTGCAGGAGACGGCACAGAGTGGGCCACTGATGGTGTCGCCGGATCAGTTTTCTTCTTTGCCTTATCCTCAAGGCAGGAAAGCTTTGGTGCCGGTGCAGTCGGGTCGGCACGCGACTTCTCACCCAACCTGGCTCAGCTTGGGGAGGAAAGGCTGTGCTTAGAGGCAGCCTTCGACAAGGACTTGCTTCTGTGCCTAGGAGAGTGCTTCCTAATCTCATGCCTGGAACTGTCAGGTCCGAGGCAAGGGAAGTGCTGGCATGGGTGCTCTCCGCCGGTTCGGATGGTCCCAGATCCAAGTGGGCATGCAGCTTCATGGCCTCCTCCATGAAGTGCTTTCTTAGGCAAAGTTGTCACGCCTCTCGAGTCCATGTCAGGAAAGCCTTACTGATGGCACAGCGATACAGACTTCCCCGAAACAGAAAAGATAGCATTGGTGCTCATCATTCACAAAGAACAAGCAAGGGCAGGAAACACAGTTCTTAAACTGCAGATTATGGGGCACAGTCCCCAGGAGGGACCCTGTAGGACCCCAACCAGGAAAACTATCACTAATGAACTATCACAACTATATAAAACGATGGGAAACTATCTACACTACAAAAACAACAAAGTAATACTATATACAGGAAAAGTAAAGGCTATGTTAGTGTAAAGACGAAGATCGCAGAGGACCAGGGATTCCGACTCCAGCCATGCGGCAGTAAGAGGGAACTGAAGAGGTGTCAACCAAAACAGCCTATCATAACTTGTACTAGGAGCATGAGGAAGCGCACTGCGCATGTACAGGTCAATGGACATTGCTCCGAAAACCTTCCAGCTCCAGCACATAGCACGTATGCACTTCATCAATCAGGGAAGAATCAGTCTTTCTTTACAAAAATAACTAAAAAATACAAACTATTAAAGACTAAGAAGGAGCCTTCAGTATCCCAAATTACACTAAGGATGATCCTCTGAGTATCTTAATATCCCTGATTATTTCAGCAATAGAAACTATAAAAATGCAATCACTATGTCCTCCTTAGTCAATGCAGGCCAGCGAGTCTTCTACTATTGATCTGTAGTTCAATTGTGTCGGCAGGCTCCAATCAGCATTAGAGCTCCATTGTGTTTGTCTTGTTCAAACAACATATAAGACTGTCCATGCCACAAGGACTGCCAATGAAATAATGGATGAGGTAATATATTTTATTGAACCAACTTCTGCTGGTAAGAGAGACCTGAAAAAGAGCTCCGTGTAAGCTCGAAAGCTTGTCTTTCTCACCAACAAAAGTTGGTCCAATAAAAGATATTACCTCACCCACCTTGTGTCTCTAATATCCTGGAACCAACACAGCTACAACTACAATGCATTCTGAAATACTAACAACGTGGACATGGGCATGGAACGTAATGGAGTGGGGAGGGCGAAAAAATGATTAACAGGAACACAAGTTCACACAATTTGGACTCTTCTTAGGTTCTGGGGGTCCCTCCCCATCTCTGCTTTTTAAAAATATCCAACTTTAAAGAAGAAATATTAATTAATCTCTACCAGGCCACCTGCCTAGCCATTATCATTAGGCCATGTCCCATGACTATTACAGTGGAGATTAATCTCAAGAAGAGATTTGAAGTCGGTATTGGCTCAGATAGCTTATTCAGAGAAGATGTTCCACCAAGTGACAGCATAGAGGATGTATATCTGCTATATCAAAGCCTACAAAATGGCATTTAAAAATCAAAAAGGTATTTGTAAGTTATGAGTGTTGCTATTTCTGCTCAGCAAAATAATTCAATAGAACACACTCATTTTTCAGGCTATGACTATATACACTAAATTCGAAAACAAACCACAGCTAATGTTATAAACGTCGGCAACTGGAGGTTTAAAAACTCTAACATCCACTTTCATAAAGTGGAGTTCGCGTTATATTCTCTACAGTCCATTAATGCAATCAAAATTGCAGTTAAAGTCTTACCTGGTCATACAGTTTTTCATCCACTAGGAGATAGGTCTTTGCCCAACGCTTAAGAAACCATACAATATCTTTTCCCATTTGTGGACTCAGAAGGTGTGTTAGATCCGCCCTTATTGCTCGAGATTCTACTTCTGAAACTCTTAGAATAGCAGATAATAACCTGCAGATATGAAGTATAATTAAGATATTTGACTTTGGGTTTTGGTGGATTTTTATCTTTTGGGGTTTTAGCAGGGTCAATTACCCAAGCAGGGTGGCCTGGCCACACCAAAGATTTCCATTCTTCTTGGAATGGGGTGGAAGAAGCAATACATCAGCAAGTATTTCCTCTCTCTACTGATGGAGTGTAAGCACCCTCAGGATATTCTCTCTTTACACATGGATGGTGGGATGGGACAGAGATGCTAGAATATCCTAGTCAAGTCCAAGAGAATGCATTTGAAATTGGACTCTGAAATCACTGCAGCTGGAAGAATTCTCTCCAGTGCTCTGACATCAGGGGAAATGGGAAATATTCTAATTGGAACACTGCCTAGAGGACTTTAAAAGCTTTTATTGAGACATCGGTATTTCCCCACTCCCTTGCATTATTACCTATAAACTTTGGACAGTCTCAGGAGTGCCTTTTGGAGCATGTGCAGACTAAATCAAATACTGAAACTGTAAATTATCTCACTATTTGTGTTACTGTACAGTGTATATACTTCCTCCCCCTCAACCATATCCCTGATAGACCCTAGCGACTCTCTTAATTTAGAACAGATTTTATTCCCTACTCCACTGGACACACACAATTGGACAGTATTACTTCTTTTTTTTGCCAGCTAGAGGGAGGGGTCATCAAAGAGCAACATAAAAGTACTCCTTTACCTTTCAAGGACAAAGTATAATGCTTCTACACCATTTCTAGACCTGTCAATCCAGGGACCAAATGAATGGGAATGAAAAGCCATCTCTAGCCTCCTAGAGTAGATTAAGGCTGGCATGAGACAGACACAAAAACGTAATTTTAACCCTGGGTGAAGTAACTTCCACATCCATTAGTGTGCCACATGATCCCCTTAATTTGAACCCTCAAACTCTGAGACTCTGCTCTGAGCCATCATTTTTCTTTCTTCTTCCTTCTTTCTGCATTAATCCCATCAAACGGGGTCAGTGCTGAGTCCTCTCCCTCCAAAGTGCTCTGTTCAATGCCATATCCTCTATCACAACACATGTTAACATGTCTTCCTTTATGAAATTTCACTACTTCTTCTTGGGCCGGCCTCTGTCTTTTTTCCTTCAGTCTTGATCTGTTGGGATTCTCTTATCCTCATACCTATCAGGACTGTATTTTACATGACCAAACCATCGGAGTCTGCACTCCCTCATTTTTTTGTTTATGGGTCTTACTTTGAGCATATCTTTAACATACACATTCCTCGTGTGGTCTTTCTTCTGACTCCACTCATCCATCTTAACATCTGCATTTCTGTACAACGGATCATTTGCTCAAGTTTCTTCTTTGTTGTCCAACACTGAGCACCATACACATCACTCTTCTTCCCAAAAAGGATGGAAGTCCCTTCTGAACCCCTCACACTGGTCCTTAAAATAGGCCAGTAACTGAGTGTCTGAGCGACAGCATTCTTTCCCCACTGAAGGCCAACAGAGCTGCTTCTGGAGCAATCCCTGGGACCAACAGTTCATGACAGAAGCAGACAGACCCATTTAATACTTTGGAACGCTTGGCAAATGGTCATTTTGTTTATGCACACTGTAGAAGGCAGTATGAAATTCATCTATATAATCTTATCTAGAGATTTTAATTCAATGATGTTTCAAACATTTAGTCACATATGTTCAAAAAAGAAACACCATTTATTTTGATTCTTGATATTTACTGGCAAAAGACATTTGTTTCTACAAAGATGTTTCTCTGTCTCTACTGCAAATCAAATTCTGCATTTCTCTCCAGGAACTTGCTCCACCTTCCCCTGATGACTCCCTACTTACCTGTCTGCTTACTCTAGCTCTCTACTCTTGGGTCTCTTCTGAGTCTCTCACATTTCGGAGTTAGAGGAGTAATCACTTTTATTTGTCTTGCCCCATCTTCAATACTTTCCAATCCTACCTTTTCCCATGCCACTAAGTCACCTTTAGCTTAAAATTTCATCTTAAGACTGTTACTTTAACCTACAATTGATTTAATCCTTCCTACTTTTTCTTTCCTACCTTTATAGCATTACCTTATTATCCCTGTACTATAACCAATCTGACAGAACATCTACTTAAAAGATCTCTTTTCCTTTCCCATATTCAACATTCATGCATTGTTTCCCTTTTTCCCACATGCATGAGACCATCAATATTCAAGTTTTATCTTCTATCTACCTATATAAATTTGTTTGAGATACTATGCATGGAAGTTGCTATAGACTGTGTTGTATTCTTACCTAATTACAGAATCAGTTCTGTTGTACCCTGGGATGGAAGAGGCCTTTTCTCCTGGAGATCCCAGGATCTGAAGTGTTGTATTGATGTCAACCTCAGTTGAATGCTTAATGGAATATTCCATTACTTCTGGAGGTATTAATGGAGTCTCTCCCTGAGTATCATTAGCTAAGAGGTAGCCTAAAGTTAAGAGAGAGAGAAAGTGACCACAAGTTTTTTGCCCTAGATTAAGTTTTTGCACTTTAGGACTTTGCTTTTTAAGTCTATTGGCTTTACAACAGATGTTAAATGGCACTGGAATCAATCCTGACTAACAATACTAAATATATCTCTTCATCAATTATGTATTTCAGTTCTGTGTGTATAAATGAGAGAAGAGATCCTAAAATTGTAACAGGAAGCTAAAGATGAAAAGTAATCCCTGAATAAACAAAATACAGAACACATGCTTGCTTCACCTGCAGATACCAGAACTGATGCCTCTGTAGAATAATACATTTTTACACATTTCTACTAGCTTTCTTTCTGCAGCCATGTGATAAAATGTCTTCATTTTACAGTTCTGACTCATCAATCTAAATTGAGATTGCTAACAATCAAGCCTCTTAGCAGCTTTCAAAAGAATGCCAAACAAACTTACCACAAAAAAAGGTTTCCTTCTTTCCATAGCAAGTCTAGCTCAGGTAGAAGTATTTATTTAAAAGTACAATAGTCTGATGTCCAGGACAGGCAATATTCATTTCTGGTCTAGTAACAACTGTAATATCCGATGTATCATAACTCACCAGAACTAGAAATAAAACTTTATCCCATAGGAGATAATGGTATGGCTAGTAAACTGTATACCATATTTGCATCAAGATCCGGTAATCACTAAGACATCAGACATTCAAAAATCATAAAGCCCTGTTTTATTAAACATCTTAAAAGATGTACATGTTTATTCCAATATTTCTGCCACTGTGGCATGGGCATAGTAACTAAGGCAATTTGGTTTTATGAATCAATATAAAAGATAGTACCAATAAAAAGTTTGAAACTTAAAAATGTTTCAAAAATAAATTGCCCTAAAATGTAGCAAAATTTGTATGGTGCTGTGTGGTTGCATCAATATTTTATTGACACTCTATTTGGGATGATCTGCATACCTCAGTCAAGTCACTCCTTAGTAACATGGCCATCATAAACTCATGCCAGTAAGTTCTTTATGCCATTACATACGTCAGATATTCTCTACTTATGATCTTTCATTGTTAGCAAGCTACCTGAATATGGTGACTGACTATACTTAAGAACAAACAGGTCAAAGTGTATGACAAAAATCAGTACAAGCACAAAAAGTAAGATGTCTTCTGTTAACATTTTTCTAAGCATCTTTATAAGAAACAAATTATTTCTATCAAAATTAACATAAGGAAATAAGAAAAAGAATGACAAAGTAACCCAGTATTGTTGAAGGGCAAATGATACGTTTGCCTCTAGTTTGTGAATTGTCTATATGAAATGAAAGATAATGAGCGCATACAAATCAATTACAAGGATGAGACATATGGGCTTATAGACGCATTGCAGTTTTGGCTGAGGAGCTCCAGTTTCAGATGCAGTATACCAATATTTTATGTGTTTAATACTTTCCACTAACCTGTGACTAAAATAAGCCAATGAATATCCTCATACAGATCATCAAGCACTTTATTGTCAATTGACCCTGATCCTGGTGAGGCAAGTAACTGCTGCTGATGTCTTTGTAACTGACCATGGAGCCTTGTCACTCTGTCTTCTAATAAACTGAAGAAAAACAATAAGCAAATAACTTTATGTAGTCATTACATAAATTAAGATTATATTCAAGAATTAAATTCTGCTTAACATGAGATTCTTTTGTTTTAATCATCTGACTAAAGTACAGTACACTTTTATAATTATATCTTGTACCTTGTAAGAAGAGGTATACAGTGTTCTGCAGCAATTCTTCCTAGCATGCCTACACTGGCCAGCTGGTCAGAGAACTGGTCTCGATCATCTTCCTGCAGTTCACTTATTTCTTCTTCCTCCCGAGAGGCTACACCATTGGCAGTCTGATGTGATTTTAAATAAGTTAAAAGTCATCAATCAATGTATATTATACAAGATATCTACTGTGTTAAGAATATCACACTATGATTTTTTTTTCTTCTTTGCAGTTTTCTACATGCTATTCAATTTTTTGGTGTTCCAGATGGAAAGTCAGAAATGTAAGTTTAAGTTTAATAAAATATATGTAGAAGAATTAAGAAAGGAGTTGGTAACTTAATGCCCATGGTTTTCTAGAATTAGGAGTGGGACTACGTCTTACTTCTGAAACAATCACCAAACTCTGAACTCAAATCTCTTATAAAACAGGAATGCAATAATATAAATCCAGATATTAAATGAGACTATTTCTAATAAATGGGAGGAATTACAGACTGGCCACTGGATGCCAGTGACAGACAAAACATGATAGGAGAAACAGAAGGAGAAAAAAAATAGGAGGAAAAAAATCCCACCCTGTCTCCCAAACTTTTGTATCTGAATCAGGAGCTCAAACAAAATGCAACCTATGATAGGCCAAGTGAAAATGGCTTTAGGTGCATTTGGCTGACCCTGCTGATCACACAGAACAGGCTCAGCCAATCAAGGACAGAGGCAAAATATACAGTTTGTTCTCAAGGACTAGCTTTAAGCTTGAAATATGTCACCAACATACCAATAAAATTTGCAATAGACAAACTGAGCAAAAAGATTCTAAAATTCAAACACATCACTACTGGCTTGCAGATACACTAGTTTAGACACTAATCAAGACTGAATTACTACGTTTGCTATTTGAATCACACACACACAGAAGAGACCAGGAACTAATATTTTAAGCTATGAAAACACTGAAGCTGGATATTTTGTTTGCCAACTTCATACACAAGTAATGACAGACAACGTTGCCAGTTCTACAGATTTTACTGTGAGTCCTACCATGTTTGGTGTTTAAAAATCCTAGCTCCTGGAATCTTGTTATTACATAAAAATCAGAGCTTTCATTAAGGAAAAGAAAAGTTTCCAGCCCTCATTGTTTACAGAGTAAAGGTTGAAAAAGTGAACACTAAAAGCTCAAAAAATCAGAAGGGAAATAAGAACCACCTTTTTTTTTTTTTATTAAATCTCATGATTTTTAGTAAATCTCTATTTTTGAAAACTTGGGTTGGCAATATTGCAAAGACCCCTTGAGTAACATCATGACTTATTTCCAAGAACAAATACACTACATTTCTGGGAAAAATGGATTTCAGTGTTAACTGGAAAGTTAAGTATGAAATTGCAGTAGTTGATAAGAAAGAGAGAAGATTGTGTGTCAGAGAAAAATATCTTTTTGCTGTCATTCTAGAAAGGAGCTGGGAAACTGAATCCAAATCTTAAGTCCTCCCAAAGTGCTTTTAAATGCCTCTTTTCTTTATCTAAACTGGCAAATAATTCTCTTTTGGCCACTTCAAAGTTGCAGCTGCTTACTGAAGAGTGCTTTCCTATTTGAAAGTTCCAGCCACTGCTTTGATATTGAACAAGCAGCATTCTGAAATGCCAGCTGTGGCTTTTAAAAGGTTATTCATGGGATAAACGACTTATCTCACAGAAGGACATGAATTAACCTGTGTATACAAGTTATGTCAAGACTGTCTGTTATGAATTCAAGGTCTCTTGTAAAATATTCTTCTCTATACTGACACTCTTACCACCATCTGTTATGTATCAAGAGAACCGAAGTAGGTTTATATGGTATTTTTCGGAAGTGAGGTATCTCAAAGCCCTTTAAATACCACTAAGTTCGATACCATTGATAAAATTACTGAATAAAAATTGGGCAATCATTAATATACTCAAGATTTACATTCAACAGTCTACATCAGAACCTGTTTTAAGAGACAGAATGTTGGGATGGATAACAGTTATTTTCTTTTTCCTGTGAAAATGCCATGGAATGTTTAAAATTTCCTCCTGGACAGCTACCCTAGAAAGGCTGTATGGACCCTGGTTTACCATTTTATCCAAAAGGACCGTCTCTCTACAAATGCAGTTTCTCCTAGTCTGAGCCCACAGTCCTACTGTGTATCTAATAAGTTTACACATATAAAATACAGGGGGACAACTGAATAAGAATTTGGCGGTTAAGTACAGAGAGAATTAACAAATACACTATCAGGTTTATAATTCCACTGAAGTGTTTTTGGTTTAAATCGTAATTCCCCCTAAAAGGTAGTTTGTTTTGTCACTAGACCCAAAGATGGAAGGCTAGGAGGCAAGCAAATTTTTCAATTATGGGGCTATTTTATATATTTAATAGAGCCAAGGTTTTAAAAGCATTCTCCAACACTGCTCTCCCCTTATTTTCTCTTTAAGAGGAGAGAAAAAGGCTGTTGAAGAACCCTCTCCTGTGTCAAACTCAGCACAGTGTAACTGCTAAACATGTTTTTTCATCACTACTGCAGACCATCTAAAAAAATTTCTGTTACCTCCTTTAATAGTTACTTAAGTAATGTATATCTAAGAAATGTTTAATTACTTTATACCAGGGATCGGCAACCTTTGGCACGCGACCCACCAAGGTAAGCACTCTGGCGGGCCGGACCTGTTTGTTTACCTGCCGCATCCACAGGTTGGGCCGATCGCAGCTCCCACTGGCCATGGTTCGCCACTCCAGGCCAATAGGGACGGCGGGAAGCGGCAGCCAGCACATCCCTCGGCCCGCACTGCTTCCCGCAGCCAGGAGCGCCGCCAGCTTTTCTGCCACCCTAGGCGGTGGAAGGTCCCGCCCCAAAATGCCGCCCCCCACAGAGGCGGCGGAAGGTCCCGCCGCCAAAATACCATTGCAGTCGCCATCCCCCAAATTGTAGCGCCCTAGGCGACTGCATAGGTCGCCTAATGGGTTGCGCCGGCCCTGCCCACAGCCCCCATTGGCCTGGAGTGGCAAACCGCAATTGGCGGCAGCGGGAGCCGCAATTGGCCAAACCTGCAGACGCGGCAGGTAAACAAACTGGCCCGGCCCGCCAGGGTGCTTACCCCTGCTCTATACACTAACAGAGTCTTTATTATTACCCCAAGAACCTCAAATTAAGAACTTACCAAATTCCTTGTACCATCAGGAGCAGCTAGGTGGCACTGAATATAAGAATTAAAAACCTGAACAGCATGTTGGGTAAAGAAGCCTTTGTGGAAATGTTTGTCATCTTGTACCAAGGTAAGCCAGGATTCCAGCAATTTATCATATGCCTCCATGTATACCATGTCATCTTTGTCAAGCTGTAAGAAAAAGATTATTACCGAAATAAACAAAGCAAAACAAACCAAAATTGCATTAGTAATCATAAATCTTTAACAGATATTCTACACATTTTTATAAACAATTAATATAAAGATCTGAGCTGAATTCAGTTACAACTACACCTCTACTCCGATATAACGTGACCCGATATAACACGAATTCGGATATAACGCGGTAAAGCAGCGCTCGGGGGGGGAGGGGCTGCGCATTCCGGCAGATCAAAGCAAGTTCGATATAAGGTGGTTTCACCTATAACGCAGTAAGATTTTTTGGCTCCTGAGGACAGCGTTATATCGGGGTAGAGGTGTACTATAAAAGATACACATAAGAATTCAAATGGATTCCCTGAAATGATATCACATAACAAGGGCCAGCAAGTTTTCATGCTGGTTAAACTTTTTAAAAAACTGGCACTCTAAAAAACAAAAATAAAGTTAAGAAGATTCTTCCCTGCACCTAAAAGTTTAACACCAAAATCCGCTTCCCAAATTACAACTTTAAAATACTTATGATTTAGATCAAAATGTTCAAACCTGGGTGCCTAAAGATAGGCACATAAATAAGTAACCTGATTTTCAAAGGCGCTGTGCACTCACAGCTCCTCTTGATACCAATATTATATTATAATACATAAAATATAATATAATCACACACATATACTTAAGGCTCGTGGAAGTCGTGGATTCCATGACTTTCCGCTACGTTTGTGACTTCCACAAACGTAGCGGAAAGTCTGCAGCAGCTGGTGCATCTGACCCCAGGGCCAGCTGCTCGGGCACTCAGTGGCCAGCCACAATGGCCGCTGCTCGGACAGCCCTGGGCAACTGGCCCCAAGGACCCCCTGAGCAGCAGCTGTCCCGGGGGCAGCCGGAGCGGCGACCCTGGATGCCGCTGAAGGAGTGGTTCCCAGGGGCCTTGGAGCAGGGGGTCCCCTAGAGCAGCGGAGCCCCATGAACAGAGATTTAATTACCATGGATATTTATAGTAAAAAAGTCATGGACAGGTCACAGGCCGTGAATTTTTGTTTATTGCCCATGATCTGTCCATGACTTTTACTAAAAATATCCATGACTAAATCTTAGCCTTATATATACATAAAATTTATAAAATCACTCTTTCTTAAAAAAAGAAAGAGACAAGAAGGTGAAAGAATCCTCTATTCTGGGGAGAAGCACTATTAGGATTTGAATCTTCACAGTACACAATTACAGGTAAACAATTTTTTTATGATAATTCAAAACAGGTCATCAATCTTGGAGACTAAAAATGGCAGGGATATTTCCACAAAACCACACACACAATAGACAACTGAAAGTGCAGGTAATATGAACATATATTTGAGAGTAACATTCAAAATACTTGAGCGGAGGTTACTGTTTACAATTATACACACAAAAGAATAAGATGCCACAGAATGGAAGGGGAATAAAGGGCCTCAAAATGAAGTTACTACACAGCAGGACAGATGAGGAGCCCTTGTCCGAAAAGTTTCTTTAACACTATTTGACCAATTAGTGACTATCCTGAGGCAGAATTTAAACAATTTTTAGTAAATATATCCAAATGTCACATAGCTTTCTTGCTAAAGTCCAGTTGAAAAAACATTGTAAGTGTACTACTGCAAGACCTGCCTTTTAATAAATGGTCCTTATCATGACCTTTGAACAGGAGGCCTACCATGGTATAATAATTTGGTACAGTAGAACATAATGAATTGATGTCTTCATAAAATAAAAAGTGAGTGACTATGGCCTTAAGTCTGCTCCAGATAAAAGCTTAGTGACCTTTTAACAGCAGGCTTGTAGTGAAAGTCCTCACTGTGATGGACATGTGGGGAAAGGGTAAAAAAGGTTGGGATGACAAATCAAGATGGAAACATTTTAAGACACTTTTTCAGCACCATACTATCTTTAAGGTGATCGTATTTTCGAAATCAAAAACCAGGACATTCATAGATGCAACCATAAAAGGGAGGGTTGGGGGAAGAAGGGGGGGGGGGGAAGTTTTATTCAACATAAAAAAGACAAAATTGGGAGACAGACAGCATAGTAAACCAGGGCTGGCCCAAGACAAATTTCTATCCTCATCGCACATTATATCCTTTCCTTTTAAAGTAATTTTTAAAACCTGGTTACTTATTGCATCACTGTGCATTTACCTTTTCTATTATGTAAAAACTTGTTAAAATTTACTATGTTTCCCTTGCATTAGTTCTTTTTATTTAGGCCTTGTCTACACTGCCACTTTACAGCGCTGCAACTTTCTCACTGGGGTGTGTGAAAAAACACTCCCCTGAGCACTGCAAGTTTCAGCGCTGTAAAGTGGCAGTGCAGACAGTGCACCAGCGCTGGTAGCCACGCTCCCAGCACTAGTAGCTACTCCCCTCATGGGGGTGGTGGTTTTTTTAATAGCGCTGGGAGAGCTCTCTCCCAGTGCTGGTGCCGTGACTACACAGCCATGTTAAAGCACTGCCGCGGCAGCGCTTTAACATTGCTAGTGAAGACATATCCTTACTCTTCGCTCTTCTCCTCCTTCCCTCTAACATACAAATATCTTTTCCCAGTCTTTATTTTCCATTCAATATCATTTTTCTACATTGCATAATAACTGTTCTCTCTCTCGCCCTCTATCTTCCCCGTCCCCCCCCCCCCAAATATGTTAGATATTCTTCCAAGTTTCCAATTTCTCCCCAACTCTCCCTCTAGTGCTCTTCTCCTCTGAACTCTTGAGGAGTGGACATTTTTGAATGTGTTGGTGTGACTACTGCCAACATCTGACTCAGTGACATGCATATCTCTTGAACTGAAGGATTTTTTCCAGTAACTTAGTGTTCTGAATGAGTCATGAAACACAACCGGGTGTCATTAACATTAATTTGAACAAAAAAAGCATCTATGCTAATTTGAATTTTCACTCCAAACACTGATCACACTGAACACTCATTCTGCTGGACTGCTTGTTCATGGTGAACACAGTGTAAATTTAACACTATACAGGAATAAGTCTTGAATTAAAACAAAAACATCTGACTTGATTAAATGAAAAGCTAGGACATTGTCAGGTGTTCTGAAAAGTTCCTGGAATATTATATCAATGTTCTGTTAAAGTCACTTTACCAGTCTTCAAATATTTTATAATAAAGGTCTATTGATCACTAGGGCCTGAAGTTCACTTCAGCACACTGAATATGTCACTACCAACAGGAAAGCGATCTCTAAGAAATTTAAGCCCACAGGTATAGTTGTTTTTGTGAGGGCCCATTTGCAGTAGGTTTTTGCCTGCCTGTACTAGTTTTTTCTTCCTTTCCTGCTAGCTAATTGGTCATTAGAAATGTCCTGGGTGATACCATCCATTTCCACACCTGTAGAGTTCTCTAATTACAATCCTGCCTTTCCCAGATTGTTTCTGTAGAACACACACACCTATGGACCGGTCAGGTACATGGCCACAAATGTAACATGTTTATAAACATGCAGTGTCAACACAAACCCAAAAGACACTAACTCAGAGCTGTTTCCCTACTGAAAATCTGAGATACATCAGATGGTTGAAATGTATCCATACATGCATGGTAAAATCCAGGGCATACAAAAGAGGTATAATTTTTCCTAGTGACACCATTATTAATGTTACTTTTGACAGATGAAAAAAACCAGCTATGTTTCCAAGATCCAGAGTGGGTTTGAACCCGGCTGTTATCAACATCAGCAAACCCCTGGAATAAACCTGCTTTGTTCTTTCAACTGGCAGCATGCTATTCTAAGAGTAATTTAATTTCTTGCAATCTCTCTTCCTCGTGCTGTTGAATCTGAGAATATTTAAGAACAATACTTTGATATAATTTCTCTAAAGCAATTCTGTATCCCATTAGACCAGTGGTTCCCAAACTTTAACAACCTGTGAACCCCTTTCACTAAAATGTCAAGTTTTGCGAACCCCCTCCTAAAAATGAGTATTTCCAGGGATTTTCTCCTTTACCCGAGTAGAAATTATAAAAGCAGTGATCTGGGAAATATAAAATTTGTTTTTATGACATGCTTATTACACACTATTAATTATTATTTATCATTAGAGTATTTGTATTTCATTATGAAAACGGCAACACTCTTCTGAGATCTCACTTTCGTAGCTTGTATCTCTTTGAATAAGCCTGTTATAAGACAAGGCTCCTATGTTTCATCAAGGAGCATCAGATGTGAAACAGCAGGAAGGTATTTAAGAAGCCAACTCAAAGAGTTCCTCTTACACAAGCATTCAGGCCTTGAGCAGTCCGGGCAAACAACACACATTAGACTAGCTGCCTATTTAATTTTAAAAACAGCAAAAAATGATCTGCTTAGCTCTTGGGAGTCCAGGGGCTCTGGGCTGCTGGCCCCATGCTGCCCAGGGTTCCTAGGCACAACTCTGTCTGCCATTAGGGAATTTTTTCCTGATAACCCCCTGTAACATTTTGCAAACCCCCAGGGGTTCACGAATTCCAGTTTGGGAACCACTGCATTAGACAATGCTGAGGATTCATGTGCTCTAGGTAACCACAAGCCATTAGGGATAAGAGATCGCTAGTCGCCCTCCAAAAAGACTGATCCTCCCACGCAGATACTGCTACAGTTTGGCAATTTGCAGTAGGTTTTTGCTGCTTATGATTTTACTGAGAGATGGGGTGCCCCAACTCTGAGTATACTAATCACTTCTGATACCATATTTAAGATGTGTAGGCTGGCTCTGAGACTGGTTTCTTTTTCTTAGTCCCTCAGGAACAGGCGGGTGGCTGAGGGTCAATGGGTGGTTTTCCTCCCTTTAGCTTTAAAGGCTAGGTCTTCATCTTTTCTCCAAAAAATTCATCATATGAAATATCTTCATGCTTCTGCTCAACCTCTGTATGAAAGCCTTATAAATGTAACCAAAGAGAATCAGTCCCAGAAATAACTGCATTTAACGTCCTTGTCTGTTACAAATCTGTAAAATGGGGCAACTTAACCATAGATGAAGTTTGAAAATATACAGCATTTAAGATTCACACGAAGAGGTATGTAAGTGTTATTCCCATTTTACAGATTAGGAAATGGAACCTCAGAAAGGTTAAGTGACTTGCCTGGAGAGCACTGTGGTCTAGTTGAATAAGCATTTGTCTAACAATGGTCAAGACAAGGGTTCTAATGTACTGAGTAGCTCTCTGACCTTGGGCAAGTTAACATCTGAGCCTCAGTTGCCCAAACTGTAAAATGCAAAGAGACGTATTTGCCTACTTCATTGTGATGTTGCACTCTATATGATTTTATGAAAATATGCTAATGTAACTGGAATATGCTTCATGCAAAAGGTCTCTTGTAAGGTATCATTACAAAGCTTATAATCTGAGTGCGATCATCCTATTTGTATAAATGTACCACTCTTGTATCTGAAACTAGAAATATGAAACATAGGGCTAAGGGCCTATTGTAATTATGCAAAGTGTGGGCCGTTAATGGTGGTTTGGAATCTTGATAACTCCCATTAACCAGGACAATTGACTGCAGATGGCTCTATTTTACCTGTAAGTCTTTCTGTATACGTTTGTGCTGGCAAGTGGGTAATGAAGTCTTACAGTGATATGTGATCATGTCACCTGAACTGGAATTCATCTTTAACCTGGTACTTTTCCATTGGGGGTGGGGGTAGGAACCCAGAGGGACAAAGGATTCCTGCCTTATGTGAAAGATATATAAGTGGGTGGAACAGAGAAAAGTGAGAGCCATCATGAGGAATCCCCTAGCTACCATCTGAGCTGGAACAAGGGCTGTACCAGGGGAAAGGATTGTGCCCAGACTAGGAAGGCATCCAGTCTGTGAAAGAAATGTATTGAAACATCTCTGAGGGTGAGATCTTATCTGTATTCAGTTTCTTACTGTATTAGACATAGACTTGCATGTTTTATTTTATTTTACTTGGTAATTCACTTTGTTCTGTCTGTTACTACTTGGAACCACTTAAATCCTACTTTCTGTATTTAATAAAATCATTTTTACTTATTAATTAGCCCAAAGTATGTATTAATAACTGGGGGGGGGGGAACAGCTGTGCATCTCTCTCTATCAGTGTTATAGAGGGCGAACAATTTATGAGTTTACCCTGTATAAGCTTTACACAGGGTAAAACGGATTTATTTGGGTTTAGACCCCGTTGGGTGTTGGGCATCTGAGTGTTAAAGACAAGAACACTTCTATAAGCTGCTTTCAGTTAAGTCTGCAGCTTTGGGGCAAGTAATTCAGACCCTGCGTCTGAGTTGGAGCAGACAGGCGTGTCTGGCTCAGCAAGACAGGGTGCTGGAGTCCCAAGCTTGGCAGGGAAAGCAGGGGCAGAAGTAGTCTTGGCACGTTGGGTGGCAGCTTCCAAGGGGGTTTCTGTGCTCAAACCCGTCACATTCATAACTATCGTGGGAAAGTATTTTATAATGTAAGTGCTAATTGTAAAGGTCAGTCAACAGCAAAGGTTGGAGAACTCAGGCCCTTCTGGCAATGAGAAAACCTCCACATAATTCATTTTAAAAGCTTTTCAATATAGGATCTTTCTGGAGTTTTTTGTTGGTAAAGCCCAAATAGGTAGAAAGCCACCTTTTTATAAACATATAATCTAAGAGAAAAAATTATTAAACATTGCTAATAAATAAGGACAGTTTTATATTCTTAAGTTCTATTTTTACATCACTGTGTAGCAAATTTACAGATGTTAGTTCTCATTATCATACACAGGAGCTGCACAGTTTATCTGCCTTATTGACTATGTCTCTTCTTCAAATAGCTCCTCTTGGGATTGTTTCATTTTTAATATTACTCTCCTGGGCAGAGAGATAGAGGGATAGTAATTGCTCATGTATGTTACAGCCAACAGCTTTGATATAACAACAACAAAACACTGAATTACCTGGCCATCTAAATTTGTAAAAATGTCATCTGAACTGAGTCAACAGTCAAGGGATACTTAAAACAGCCACTAAGACATAGAATGGGGGCAGTAACAGGGAATATCATAGCAGATGCATTCACTTAAACAGAGGTTCAAGCTTCAGGTAAGTTTCAATTTGCCCATATGTGCACATAGCCATTCCAGGCTTTCAAATCTGTAAATTGTTAACCATTTATAAGCACTTCTCAGAAGTTCTACCTGAACACTTAAGCAATATTTAATGCCTACTATACTTGCTAGTGAAGCTGTCAATTTAAAATGAAGACGTTTAACAGGTATTTTAATCAAAATTTTAATTCAAGTTTAAATTTGTTAGACAAGTATTTAAAGGTGCATAATTATTTCTATTGTTCTTCATTATTAATTATATTGGTCTACACATATCTCTTCTACATCTGATTACAGTAATGTAAAAATAAACTAAAAGTTAACAGCAACTTTCTCTCAAACAGAACTAATGAATCTCAGAAAACATATATTACAGAATGGGGCTAAGACATCCAAACATTACTAAGTCATTACAAATCTATTATGTTCTTATGTCTCTTGTTAATTTCACGTTCATCATAAATGCAATAAAAAGAACTCAACTCTTTCAAGAATCAATTGCAGTTCAAGAACAGTACTCACCACTTCTTCCAGTGCAGCACTTCTCCCAAAAGAACAGGTGAGGTGTGTGAGGCAGTTAACAAATGAAGAGAAAAGTTCATTTGGAATGGCAGTTAAAACATTGCGAGGAAACACAGTTATCAGGTTGCTGAAAACACTGGAGATTCCCATTGCTTCAGAGTCCTCTATTTCAACTCTATAGATAGAAACAGCAGGGTTTGGGGTTTTTTTAGAAATTAGGAAAAAAGCTTAAAATTGTTCATTTTATGGATGAATTTTCTGCATTTAACAAACCAATATATACTTTATACTCTTTTCAGGAAATACCCTTTCGAAAAAATGTTATTCCATTTTAATAGTTCAACTCCAAACACAAATTATGCAAAGAAATAAGCCACACTGGCTCTCTCCCTCCACTCCAAAGTAAAGATTAAAAGATGCCATCTAAATTTAAAAGGCAAGTGTACATACCCATTGATAGTATTCAGTAATCCTTCAATGAAATGTGCCAGATAATCAACTTGTGAACCTTCATCAGGAAAGACTGGCCCATGCAGAGAAGCTAGCTGTGCTAGGCACTGTAGAGAGTCTTGTGCCATATCTGTATCCTCTCTGATTTTTCGATGTACCTTTTACAAAGTGAAATGAATTAATAATACATGGAAAACACATGCGTGTTCTTACAACAATCATATGGCTCTCAATCCAAAAAAGCAGACACCAAAAAAATCTTACCCTAATTTCTAGTCAATCTGAAATGACATGGCTTCTATAGCATCGCCCTAAACCAGAGTAAACGTCAAGATTGCTCCTCAGTTTATTAGCGTCATGAGCCATGACTTAACTCACCAAAACTAACACTTAATTGGGTCCTACCTACATTTTAGAAATTGAACTGTTTAGTGCATGTTATGTCTTAAAGAGAGAAACAGATGCCAGCCAGTCAGACATACTGCTCCTTCTAAAAACAGCAATAATGACAGTCATCTGTATTATGCTAACTATGCCTAAGCTACAGCGTCTTGCTAAAGTTAGTTGATAAATTCAATCAAGATTATATAGATGCTTCTTTAGCAGAGGTAAACACTGAAGGCACACAAAACAAGTGCACCTCACCCTTGGCAACATCTCTGAGACCACTAGTAATCTTTTCTCATTTCTGCAAATGGAGTGTTACATCACTACTTATGTGGTTACCAATTCTGGATTAAAATAAATCTAACATATCAATAGATTTAAAACATATTTTTACATATTTATTGCAATTATGTATTGCAATACATATTTGCAATACTTTAAGGCTTTTATTAGGACAAGCATTTTATTTCTACAGGACAAAGCAAATAGTATAATATAATGGTATAATAAATACTAGTATAGTCGGCCTCTCAAAAAAAAAAACAGTCTTGTTAAATTGATATATATAAAAGCAAAGTTAAATCTTTATAACCATTTCTCTATTTAGCCCATCTCAAATGTTATCCAAGTGATAATTGTGCAACTAACACGAACCTCTAAATGATACAGAAAGACAAGTTACAACTATTTTAACTTCTGAAAGATCAAATCACGTGAAAACACAATTTTGAAATTTAAAACAATTCTTCCCCACTCTACCCTATTAAAATAAATCTTACACCATGTAGAAATTAGGATTTTTCTCCTTTAAAATGGCAGTTTTACAAAACTTAGAAGTATTCAAATTTGTTAGTTCAAATAAGTGTGTAAATTATCACTGTTCATTTAATTTTTGTATTTGAACAAGAATTTGATATCTAGAGAAGCAAAGGCTGCATTACTTCAAATGCAAAATTAATGTTATACGACTTAAGCCGTGCTACTTAAAACAAAAGTAACAGTGTGCTGTTTTGATTTTTGTGCATTCACAAATGATTTAACAAACTGATGGATTCTTTAGTTTCCATTAAATAAAATAAATGTTTAGTATTCAGAAGCATTCATCTTCTGAATGTGATGGATAAGGCAGTTACTCAAAATTTAACACTGAAGAACAAATCAGAAGTCAGACATTTAACTCAGGGACTTCTGAGTACAGTTAAACTAGAAAGGGTTAACCTGTAAACCCAAAAGTTATTTGCATTAGGAGGTTCACAGCTGACAGTAGCAACTGTCTAGATCGTCTAGACAGCTGTTCAGATTGTGTGTGGCTGTTAAGAGTTCTGCCAGGAAGTTTTTCACCTTTTCAAGAACTGCTGGAGCAAGATAAATTTTCAATCAAACAAATGAATCTCCTTTAATAAAACACTGAATATAGATGTGTAGTCAAACTCACAGGTCAGACATATCACTTTTGGTTCTAGAGATTTATATATGCTACATAGTGCCCACCCCAACAGAGTTTTGAGTATATTATTTCTCTGCTTTGCAAAAGGAACCCTAGCCTGAAGAATGTTGAGCTTCAAGATCCCAAGAGATGGGATATGATATAAAATAAGATTAGCATAGCAGTTTACATAAATAATCTGAATACTGTGGCTGGGCTGACTGCAAATTAAGCAAATATTAACAAAAATTAGTGGTAGGAAATTACTTTTACCCAGCTTTAATAGCAGTTTAAAAAAAAATACAAAATAACCATGTGTTGCTCAGCTATTTTCCAATCAGCAGATCTATCATTGACCTTTTTGGTTTATATCCAGTTTATAACGAATGGAGTTTTATGCTAAACTTGGATGGAGAAATGCAAAGATATTGCTAGTTTTCAACTGTTCTGTTGAGCAGTGTTCCAGCAGCAGTGAAAACCTATTGTTCAGCTGATATTTGTAGAGCGGCAATACCTTAGCTAAAAAGGTATCTGATAACACGGCTAACGCATTATGCTCAGAATTTCATCTGGCGAATAGATATGTCCAAGATATTAAATGAATACATGAATAATTTTTAAAATAAAAATAATTTAAGACACTTTATATGCAAAGTATGTCTTGATCACTTGATAGGGAAAAAAAATCAATAGTCCACCACCACCTTAGAAATTTGCTAGGGTAAAAATTGATGTTAACAGAATTAGTCTTACCTGGTACAACAGGAAGAATCCAACAATAATGTTTTAAAAGAGGAAGGAGTTGCTTCTCTGTGACCTGTATTATGAAAGTTGAAGAAGAATGAGACTTACTGTAAAGAAAAGCTCCATAACTCTGATGTCCAGGAGGGTTTCACGCCACAACTCTGTTGGCTTTAGCATCACATTTTGTGAGGATTCAAACATAGCTATATAATGTCTGCCCAGTTATCTGGTGTCAAGGTCAACAATAACATTCCTACTTGCCTTTAAAAAAAATCCTAGATACAACAGGATCCATTCAGAAAGAATGTAATGGAAACAATCTTTAAGCCTCTCCACATACACAGCATAATTCATGCATGAGGCCAAGGAATAAAAGGTATTAAGTATTGAAAAAAAGAATGCTCCAGGAATGTTAGATAACAGTTTGATCATAATTATGAGACATACCATAGTGATATGATCACTTTGATAACCAGGATATCTAATGTGACAGGGGGAGAGGGAAAAAAGCAACCGCAATTAACAGGTGTTAAAATTTATGCAAAATAGGAAGTCATTTTCTAAAAAATTTTCCTGGCAGCTTTTATAAAGGCCTTATGATTGCTAAAGATAGCTCTTTGAAACATATATCCTATTTTTCTAAATAGCCAAATATGCTTCACAGAATGAAAATATGTTCCCCCTGTATTACTCTAATTTTTTTATCATGCTAGGAAGAATAAAAGCATAAAGGCACCACAAGTCATTGTTCTATTAAGCATATGTTCTTAAAAGAGAAACCAAGGAACATACACACATTGCATCTATGAATTCATTGCAGAGAACCATCTAATTGCTCAACATTAAATTACAAGCATGGAACTCTGCAAATGGTCTAGTGTTGGATGACCAAAGATGCGAGAAACCACTTAAGCATGTAAATCCACTGCACTCTGTGAGTCTATGACTATACTAAAGTATATAAATATTTAGAGAGCCATTGAGAATACACTACATGTAATACTATATGCGGTTAAAGGCATCATATATACTCCAGATTTCTCAAAATATGTAAAGTTCTAGACATCAGAGTTTATACTACACTAATAGATGTCAATAAGCTCTACCCATACTGACCACATTATTTAAAAGAGTAAGCAAGTGGGGATTTAAAAAAGACAAAAACCCCAAATATAAGTGGCATAAACAAAAGTGTGAGCATAAAGCAGGGTGCAGCATTTTTACTGCCACTTGTTTGGGGAGACATCATAGTACCACAGTGACTCCAACCATATGGCAGCAACCAAAATAGAACCCCACCACCATCATACACAGTTGAACCCTCCTATAGTGAAGTAATTTTTTCCATAGAGCAATTTCATTGTAAGTGGGAGGTTCACTATAACCAGAACTGCAATCGACACATAATGAACTGAAACAATTCAGGACTTTTATATTACTTCAATATAAAATGAATTTCATTACATACAAATTTACAAATGTATATGTGAACAATATGGACTCCGAGATACACAATAGATTATTTCATACAGAAATACAAGATAATGGAGTTTTTAAGTCTCATTTATATTTGAGAATATAAATAAAAGTTTAAGATATCTATAAAGTGACTTGATGAAAGTATTTCAGTTTTTTGGATGAAAATAATATATTAGTTTAAGTTATTATAGGAAGTAACCATCCTTCACCAAAACTTTATAGTTACTCTCAGGTGCATTTCAAAGCACTTAGTAGTAGTTGAAATTGTACAGTAAGTTATAAACGATTTTCTCCACCCATGGTAATCTGATGAAGAAAATACAGCAGGATAAATTATTCTTTACTAGTGAAAGTGCTCTTCTCCTTAATTCTGTACCGAATGAATATGAAAGATAGAAGTACCAGAAGAGGATTAGAGATTCAATTTATTCATTAGTAGGTTTAATTTACAAATGGGACCAGTTACATATGCACACCTAATTTGGAATGAAAGAAGGGCTGGTTTACTGTCACTATTTTAACAAGCCTCAGTATTTAGTAGTCATATCCTGTTATTTTTAGAACTGAATCTCATACTAATGGCCTGATGACATCTGACAATAGAAGATTTGTAGGTGAAATAATGTATATGTTCACTAAACAATCCAAAATGAGACTGCAGCTACATCAGAGAACCTAGAGCCCATTTTCCAGAACATGTCATTGCACTGGTGCTAGTAAATGTATATAACTGCTAGTGTAGATAGGGCTCAGGCATGCTTATCACACTGGCATAAAAACTTGCTTCAGGGACACTACAGTGAAATTCCTGGTCTATGCTATGGTTTACACTGTTATTAGCATTGGTCCAGAAGGGCTGAAAAATGGATACTAAATTTGATAGTGCACATGCAGCTTCTGATGCTACCCATGATAAATGCTGGTTTTGTAACCTATTGTTATCAAAAATGAATTTGAAGACTGTCAATGCTTTTAAAGCAATAGAAATATGACTAATTTGTGCAATACTTTTTCCAGGAGTTCAGACAGCAATATAGTTTAAAAATAAAAATGCCACTGCACCACTCTGTAATGTCACAGGAAAACTAAATTAATTTTTTTAAATTAATCTTTTTTCCCCCAGAGCAAATCATTAAAACAGCTCACTGGTGATACCACACAAATGCACATTAAAAACAACCAATAGGAAATTCAACTTTGTACTGAGATGATAAAATGTAAAATACAGAGATTCTTACAGAAGCTGAAAGTCTTTTAAAATAAAAAAAAGATTACACTGGTCTACAATTTTTGAGAAGTCGTCTGCTTCAGAGATAAAATGTGCTATTTCTTATGTATTTTGATGTGCTGAATTCAAATATGACAATTAAAACAACTTATTGGCTACTGTTTCTAAGATATTTAAGTTTTTACATTTTATGTCTATGTATATTGGGTAGATAGTAGAGTTTGAATCATAAATTGTAAACCTAGGTCTTTTCATGTGTTTATCATTGCTTTACATGATAATATTTCACCTGTCCTGTTTATGTAAC